GTGACCAAGAAAACCGGAAAGAGTCAGGGAAATTTTTTTTTCTTTTTTGCTAACAACCCTGTAAATCTTCATACTAATAATTTTATTACTACGAAATGTTATTAAGACATACTGTTAAATTCATAATATCAAGTTATATCCAATTTGAATTATATTTTGAATCATTTCTATAGATTGCGCCCCACAGCTCTTATTCAATATATTTAGTTAATTTAACTAAAACAATGAAGTTAAACAATTTAACACAATTTCATAATATTAAATTTGACTTAAATTCAGTTTATTATTTATTAAATGCATACGCTAATATAGATGTTGGTTATTTTAAAATTAACCACAGCAATGGATTGATTTACTGTGACGTAGGTACATAGAAGTTTTAATTCAATTTAACTCGAGGGATAACTTTGCTTCTTTGATATTTAACAGAGTGACTACGATGATTATGACATTTATTATGAGGAAACATGAAATTCTAATTAACAAAATAAAAATAGAAAAATATAAGGTAAATATTGAGGAGAGAGCCAGCGCCGATGACATGTTGTTAGGGTCATGATCTCAAGTGACTTCTAACAGGTTTTAGCCGTCGCTTGTTATTCGTTAAAAAGTTATTATCAATCGAAGTTAATAATTATTGATCTGCTTTACACGAAGAGTTAGATAACTTTAAATGGGAAGAAAGATATGTGAGGTGGACGAGATCAAGGAATACAATTTTTCACATGAAGCGACTTTCACCCTCCTGTCAAGGGACGCACGACTTCCACGTGAAGCAATTTTCACCCTACCTCCACCTCCTGCTAAAGTTATCCCTCGAAGGTCGCTTCGTGTAGAAAGATTCGCGCACTCCTTAGTAGGGAGGGAGGTGGGGTGAAAGTTGATTTGGGTAGGAAGTCGTGCGCCCCTATGTTCTACTATATAAAAATTATATGAGAAAATAACATTTTCGTCGGCGCTGGCTTCCTCCATCTCAATATTTACCAAATATAATATTAAATTTAAAAGAAAATAAAAATGTTGAATAAAATTAAAAAGCCGAAGCAAAAAATATTTTTTATTTCTCTGAAACTAACTAGTCTTGAGTTCCAGCGAATGTCAGATTCGCTGCAATGATGCATAAATCTCGTTGTTTCAGCGATATTCGATTCGTCCGACATACTACTACGCGCAGAAAGATAATACACGATACAGAGCAATTATGTCCTTCAACTGCATAATTTGCTTTAACAACGGAGAGTACCATCGATTCGTTCGCGCATTGTATTCGTGAATTCGACATTGGAAGGTAGGTGTATAAAAAAAAAGGTCTTGCGATGATATAGTAAAAAAATTTCCGTGTAAGGAAAGTCAGTGTTGCTACATTCTGTCGCCCCCTGTCGGAGAACAACACTGCGATGTTCCGTCGCACTAGCATGCGTTCACGGGAAAGTATCTTTGATCTTTGATGCGATATTCGTGAGAAAATTCGAAATCGAACGGTTCTCTTTCTTTGATGCATTATGGAATACGAAATTCCCAAGAAATCCATGGATGATTGGAAGTTGCTGGCTGAAACATCCAAGACCAAACACAATGGTAACGCTAAACAAACAAAAATAGAGTCTTCAAAACGAAGCATTTCGCTTTGAAGCATTCCTTAGCCAACAGGATTTACAGATGTTTTGTAAAAATCTTTCTCATCCACTCCAAGATTTCCTTGATCGAATTGCAGTGTGATTCGATCAGGCGCGATCGTGTGCGTGCAAGTAATAATCGTTATTCACCTCCCAAAATGTTGCTCAATGAATTTCTGGAATCAATGTGCATGAGTGTTTGTTCTGAAATAAAGGAGTTCTTTGTTATTTAATGTATATCATTATATTAATATATTATTAATTAAATTAGTATTATTAATTAAATAATATTAATTTGCACATATTGCGCAGCAGAACTGATTCGTTTCTTAAACAAATATGTATATATGTATTTTTTTTGCTATTTTAATCATTTATCTACGATATACAGGGTTTGTCCGAAAAATAATGTCAATGACTTTATTGTGAAGCGACTATACGTCGCAGCGCGATCGGATCGGTTGGAATCGGTGGAGGAGGAAGTCAGCTTACGAACGCGCGGTCGCTCAGTCGTCTTTGATCATTCGGTGAGTAAAGACAAGCTTTTCCGTGAAACGCGTTTTCGTCTTCTGTGCAAGCCGTAATGCAGCGCTCGTTGATGGCCGTCCAGTGCGGGCTTCATCGTTGATCTCTTCACGGCCTTCTAAAAAAGCCTTGTGTCACCGGTAGACTTGTCGATCTGACAAACAATCATCAGTTTCCATTGCGAACTTGTCGAGTTTCACACAAAACTTGATCGCAATTTTTTGTTCGAACGAGCGCTGCATTACGGCTTGCACAGGAGACGAAAACGCGTTTTACGGAAAAGCTTGTCTTTACTCACCGAATGATCAAAAACGACTGAGTGACCGCGCGTTCGTAAGCTTCCTCCTCCACCGATTCCAACCGATCCGATCGCGCTGCGACGTCGCTTCACAATAAAGTCATTGACATTATTTTTCGGACAAACTCTGTATGAAAATATATGCCTGGTTTATGCTTCGGTCTTAATCTTAGTCTTAAAAGTTGGCAACAAAGAATGCCATAAGATCGTTTATGCTTCCCCAGTCTTAACCGTACACTGTTAAATTTATAGTGTCAAATTTAACTTAACGTGAGTCGCCACTGTTCCTCAATTATATCGTTATTTTATACTCAGTGTTTTCCATTATCTAGATAAAATTATTTAGATAATTATATAGATGAAGAAATGGCTTTATCTTATCTTTAGATTGTTAAGAATATAGATTATTTTTATCTTATCTTAGATAAAATCTTTTTTAAATTAACTAAGATTGTAGAAGAGTATCGTAAAAAAATTTCTATATAACTTCTAGTAGTAGCAATGATGAGAATTTTTTTATGATATAGATAAAACTGGGATTAGTATGACATCAGTCATAATTCAAAGACATTGAAATACTTTCATATTTAGAAGATAAATCTAAGGAATTAGATATTCTTAATTTGTATCCACACGTCAAACAAATTTTTTTTAAATATGACACATTGCCATTATCAGCGTCAGTAGAGCGCCTTTTTATTTGTGGACAACAAATATTAATTCCACGTAGAAACCGTTTGTTAGAACACGGTTCAAAACACTTTTATTCGTAAAAAATAAAGATTAATGAAAATATTTTTTGTATCCAAATGCTCAATTTCTTCACTTCCAGATAAGTTGCGGATATCCTTATCCAGGAGATATCTCTATTGTATTCTAGGAGATATCTCTTAAAGTTATCTAGAGATGAAGAAATCGTTTTACTGCCTAATAGTTAGTTAAAAACAAAATTATCTTAAAAATTATCTAGATAAAATTTTTTTTAATTTCATCTTTTATCTAGATTAATGTACAGTTAATCATCTTCATCTTATCTGAGATACATTTTTGTGTGATTTATCTTATCTATATCTAGATAATTTTTAATTATCTAAGCGCAACACTGTTTATGCTAAAGCAATACTTATATTTGACACTATACAGTGTCAATTTAACACGATATATAATGTCAAATTTAACTATCGTTTTGATAAAAAATAACTATATATTTAGTAGAAGCAGTAGCGACTCACGTTAGATTAAATTTAACACTATAAATTTAACAGTGTAGTCTTAATCTTAGTATCAAAAAGTTCCTGTCTTTTAACTTTAGTCCTAATTCCTTAAGAAAAAGACATGGGCATGCGTATAATATTGAGAGCAAAATGTCAGATGCGGAATTAATTGAATGTGTCCAACAATTTGATGTGGTTTGAAATAAAAAAAATTCAAATTACAAAAATAAGGTAGTTGTAAGAAACAGTTGGAGAAGCTTTAAATTTAAGTGGTAAGTTATTTAAGGTAACAGATAAAACCATAAACCAGTCCTTAAGATTAGGTTAGGACTAATTCTAAGACTAAGTTTAAATTTAAGTGGTAAATTATTTAAGGTAACAGATAAAAGCATAAACCAATCCTTAAGATTAGGTTAGGACTAATTCTAGACTAAGATTAAGACCGAAGCATAAACCAGGCAATAGACTTTAATGAAATAAATCAATAATTAAAAGTGTCTATAAGAACCAACTGGATAGTGTGTAGTGTGCGCATTAATTTATTCAAATCTATTTATTTATCTATTTATTAATCTACTTTGACCCCCACGGTTAGTAGGGTCCTATTCAGGTCTCAATGTTTGTAGTAGGTCTAAACGTATATAACTTATTAATGTAGTACTGTAGTAGAATAAATTAATGTATACCTATACTATTATCCGGTGTTGGCTGTTATAGGCACTAATTATTGATTCAATTATTTGTTTAAGTAAAAATAAATTAATCAATACAAGGACTGTTGCATGATTTTCTGCGCGAAGCGACTTCCATCCCATTTCTCAGATTTTAGCCGTCGCTCGTTATCTGTTAAAAAGTTATTAACAATCGAAGTTGCTAGTTATTTCTCCGCTTTGTATGAAAAGGTGGATGACTCTAAGCAGGTGGGAGGTTTAAGATGGACCGACTAGGGGAATAACTTTTTACGTGAGAGACAAGGCCTCTCTTCCACCTCCCCTCTGCTTTCCACGCGAAGCATAGAAAGTCGTGCGCCCCTACATGTTACTATATAAAAACAAAAATTATATTTAAAAAATAACGTTTTCAAAGAAAATTTTTATTTTGAAGCAGGAAATCTATTTTAAAGCAGAGAATTTTTGTTTTACATAGTAGAAAAGAGACGTTATTTTTTTAAACTTTTCTTCTTAATAACTTTTTAACAAATAACGAGTGACGGCTAAAACTTGTTGGAAGTTACTCAAGGTCTATTGAAGGGGGGGGGGGGCTATTCGGTATATTTACCACATTTTTTTATTATAATACACTTACAATTATTATATATTTTCGTTTTTGCACATTTTTATGTTTCAGAAAGAAGTTACTGCAATCATCGCATAATAAGCATAATTTCGTTCACAACGAAAGGTTGCAAAACAATCATCGAGACGATGCCGAAAACAACCGATTAGAAGACAACTCGCAAGATATTGTTCAACACACATCCGATGCACAAATTCCAAACGCTGCTGTTGGAACAATATTGATTAATGCGGTGGACGCTAATAAAACGTGTCAAAATAAGATTCAAGAGTGTTATTTATCCAGAAAAGAATCGTCAGATGGCACTAAACAAGATTTTAGTCAAAAAGTAACAACAAATGTTTCTCATATTGATGTTACATCAACAAATTATAGAGATATTTCTGCAAAAAAATCTGCTATTGAAGCGTCACCTAGCTTTTCCTCGTCGGAGGATGAATCGCTGAATAAACATATACAAAATATTGTTCATGAATTTATAAACAAATCATCAGATATAATTATACCAATTCAATTGAAGGAACATTCAGACTCTAAAAGTAGCATCGATCCCTTGAAAGATATTTTTAGAAGAGAACATAAGGAAAAGAAAGAATGTGAAGTAAGACAAGAATTTTCCCCAGTAAAAAGCAAACTGTTAGATATATCACAAGAAGATTCCTATAAATCTAAAACTGATAATATCCTTGATAGTAATATTAGCTCAAGCAATGCAATAATTTCAGAATCAAAAACATATGCAAAAGTAAAAGTAATTAATTTCATAGGTAAGATTCAAAACGTGTCTGCTTCAGAAAAATCAGAAAAGTCAATTGAACATATCGATACAGTGTTACATCAAATGCTCATAAAGGAAGATGTTAATAAAGCAAAAATATATTTAGAATCTAAAAATCCGCAAACAGAGAGTCAACCTATCGAAACAAATTCTAAAACAACAATTAAAAGAAAGATACGTTCCGGAAGTTTAGATCGCAATATATCGTTGATAAAGGTACGAAGAGAGAATGAAGTGAATATGTCACCAAAAAAAGTAGTAGCAGATAGTACTATTGGAATATCTCACTATGAAATGCTATCCGATAATGAATTAGTTCACACAACAAATCAAAGAAATGAGGCGAGCACGAAATGTATAATAAGAGAAAGAGGAAGTTCTAAATTCCTGAAGCGAATAAGGGAACGACATAGGAAAGAAAATAATATGAAGATTATAAAGATACGAGCAAAATTTCATGAATGTTTTCGACGCAATTTCGACCCCGACACAAGTGAAAGTGAAGAGGAACGCGAAATTCTGTTGAATCTGAAGAAAAATAAACAACAGTTTGATGAGCCATTACATAATAATATAACAGAAGAAAAGGTAGAATATATTTTTGAAAGAAATAAGTTAACACATGATTTATCGGCTAATAACTGGCAGAAAAATATAGAGAGCACAATACCAGATAAAATAAGGTCCGACAACTTACACGATTCTACTGTATCCGACAAAGAATACACTCTGCACGATGCTGTAACAGAAAAACAGATAGAAGATAGTACATCGTTAGATAAATGTGCTACGTTAATTAACAATTCACAGGAAAGTACAGAGAACATAAACTTAGATAATTTATGCGATTCTAGCACATGCGCTGAAAAGTTTGATACTATGAGCGATGTTACAACAGATGAAGAAATATCGATATGTAAACGTATAAACACTTCTATCAATGATCCACAAAAAGATATATCAGAGAACATGTACTCTGATATTTCATGCGATTCCGATGCATGCACCGAAAAATATTCTCCGTCCAATGTTACAACAGACGAGGAGGCAGAAAAAGCATTGATTTGTGAACGTGGCACGTCAGATAATAATTTTCAGAAAAATGTAAAAAAAAATAAAAAGAACGCAATTTGGGCTAAAATAAAATTTAAGAATTCAAACAATTCCTCTACATACAAAGAAAAGTATTATGCTATGACAGAAAAGAACATAGAAGATGGAGCAGCAGTATGTAATTATAATATGTCGACTAATAATTTGCAAGGAAATATAGATGTACCGGCTGAAATAAGATCTGATAATTCAAGCGATTCTTCTAATTGTAACAAGAAGTATTGTGCTACAAATGTTATTGTAACAAGAAAGGAAATAAAAAATAAAGCATTGATATATACGAATAATACGTTAACTAATAATTCACAGGAAAATATAGAGAACGCAATACCAGCTAAAGCAAAATCTAATAATTTAGGGAATTTCATTGCAAGAACCAAAAAATGTGATATTACAACAAAAAAGAAGATAAATAATGACGAATCAATTAATGATGAATCGATATGCATGTTACCTGATAATTCACAGAAAAATATAGAGAGCGCAATACCGCTTGAAGTGATGGCCGATAATTCGTGCAATTCCACTGTAAATACCGGAAAATACGTTAAACACAATACTATAACAGATGAAAAGAGAGATGGAGCATCATCGATATATAAACACAGCACATCTAATGATTCGCAAGAACATATAAAGAGCACAATATCGGCTGAAGTAAATTTCGATAATTCGTGCATTTCCATTTCAAATATCGAAAAATATTCTACGGACAATATTGTAACAGACGAAAAGACAGAAGATGGAGTATCAACATGTAAATGTGATACACCTGTCAATAATTCACAGGAAAATATAGAGAGTGTAATACCAGTTGAAGTACAATTCGATAATTCATGCGACTCTGAGTGCGAAATTCATTCCACTGTAAGTGTCGAAAACCATGACTCTATGCACGATATTGCAAAAGATGACAAAGTAAAAAATAGAGCAATATGTAAGCATAACATGTCAGCTAATGAGTCAGAAAATATAGAAAATGTAGTCTCGGCAGAAAAACAGGGTATACAGAATTCTTCGTCAATTAACGACACGGAAAATAATAGTAAATGTGATATTAGCGCGAAACATAATATGCCGTCCACGATTGAAATAAATTTAGATGAAAATATGAGTATAGAAAATATATATTTAAATAAAAATATAAAAAAAAAAGCAGATACCACTTACAAGAAAGCGGAAGAAGTAAGTGTACAATCTGCATTACAAAATCTGCAAAAGAATCAAGAAATGCGCAATGTCGAAAGTATTGATTTAGCGCAACGCAAAAACATGCAAAAAAATGCAACGTCAAATTTGGAATTGCTAATCATGTCTACATTTGAATCAACATCGTACAATGTTGGCAAAAAAGACAATCGTGACATGTTAGAAAAAAATGTCGAAAATTTATCGTTATCAAGTAACGATAACATTGGGAAAGACGAAAAAACAATTGATCAGCTTTCAATGATAACATCAAAATTAAAAAAAAATTCTTCGGAAGAAAAAAGTAACGATTCTTTTTCGATATCACAGTCAAATTCATCTAGCAAATCAAATTATAGTGATAATTGCTCATTGGACATTCACTTAACAGATGATGACAACAGTAGTGATATTGAAGTAGAAATAAAAATAAAACCCAAATTAAAATCTCGAGTATCACGGAAATTTTCATTAAAAGCACCTTGGTCTGCAGTAAATACATGTATCAAAAACTTACACACACTTAAGGATAACCCAAGCTTTCTTAATGAACTTTTGCAGATGGATCATAGAACATTTGAAAAGTCTAATCGCAAGATCACAAATACAAGAGAAAAAGAAGACAATACGTCATTAGATAATGTTAATGTTACTGCCGAGACTGACGAAATCATATGTGATTCTAGTCCTACTACTAAAGATGATGAAAATCATTCTCAACAACGAAATTCTCCAGACCGTCCAATTTTAAACGAAGATAGAAATATGATAGCCTATGATGATGAAAAAGAAAAAGATGAATGCACTCAATCTCTCATACAGACGACTCCAATAATAACTGAAAACAATCTTGACTCAAGTAGACTTGTGTGCGATACATCCGATTTGGGAAAACAGTCACAAAAGGTTATCACAAACGACAAACAGAAAAACAACGAAGAACAAAATTTTCAAGATAAAACAACTTTAGAGGGAACTAAAAATGTGGTGGAGCATAATCAGGTTGAAGAAGTTGAAATATTGTCTGTCGAGAGAAAGAAACCGCAGATAACGACAGAAAATAGTTCTAAATCAATTAAAGCTGCATACGACACGCCTGATGTAGCAGAACAGTTACCACAAACTTCCTCGGATATGACACATAAGAAAGTACGAGTCCGTTCTATTGCGGAACTTAGTTGTCAGTGTGTCGAGAAATCTAGTCCGAATGCATCAATTCCAAGGAGTGTATGCTCAGCATTCTGTCAGTCAGCATCTCAATCGGCAACTATTCATTCAATATCTTCTCAATCAGCACCTCAATCAACATCTTTTCAACCAGCACCTCCATCAGTGTTTTTTCAATCAGCACCTTCTCAATCGATACTTTTTCAACCAGTACTTCCTCAATCAACATGTCCTCAGTTAGGACATCCTTCATTAGTACCTCCTCGATTTACATCTTCTCAATCAACATCTTCTCAGTCAGTATCCAAACGGCCACCGCCATCATCGTATAACGCCACTTTTAAACATACATACCTCTCACCTAATACAAGTTCCGCGGTTGCACCGGTTGAAATTAATACTCCAAATAATAACAACGCTCTCAGAAATTTAATACAGATTACAATAAAAAATATCTGCACCCATGTTGGATATTGCCGCAGTCTTAATCAATATAATCATGTAAGAATAAATTTTCCTAAAGATTACGTACAAGGATTATCTACAACTATGCAACAAATAAGTCAAGACTTAGAAAACTTGAAAACATGGCTGAATATGAAGGATATTGACAGCACGTTGATTCATATTAATTTTTATATGCCAAAAAATCAACCAGTGACAGTTTCGGAATTGAAGAACTATGTGCAAATTTGTTATGACTTATACTTTTCACAACAAAATTATGCAAACTCGTTACAATATCCGAATATTAGCAGATTACTTTCAAATGCATCATTGTCGAATGTCAACGCGCAACAGTTTTCGAGAAATGCTTCATTTCCAGATGCGAGAATACCAAATCGTGATACATTCATGCAATCTTCAACAATGCCATGTCCAGCACCAACGATCCCAAATATCAGCCAGCAGCAATTGATCAGAAATTCGGCTAATTCTACACAAGTACCACACTCGAGACAATCTAGGCCAAATATTCATCAATCATATATGTCTTATGTACCACCTACAGCACAGTCACATATGCCGAACGTTAATCAACAACAATCTTTAGAAAATACGAGTCATCCGGTACAAGGCCGATATATGCCAGCAAATATGTTGAATGTTGGCGTTCAACAGGGTTTGGTAATTATGAGTAATATTTCATCATCGAATGTTAATATGCACTCGTATGAATCAGTAAATCAAGGAAACACAAACGTGTCTCCTACAACTAACACGAGACAAGTATACACCACTTTGCAACAAAATACAATTAGCAATACTGCAACTGCATCTGCTGCTAATAACATGGAACAACAGAAACAAATGTATCCTCAGACATCGCAAATAAACTCAAGAACAACAGTTTATCCACCGCCTATGACAAATCAAAATAATTCTCTTGGAATACGCCAAACTGTGCCAGGCTATGACAATGTCAACTTAACTGGATCTTTCACAATAAATCCTGATACCTCAAGAACCAACGCTGCAATGGGAAATGCTAGACATAGGAGCACAAATGTGAATCAGCAGCAAGTAAACTGCAATCCACAAGTATCTCAAATATCTTCAGGAAAAACGCAGTTTTTGCCGCAATACGATCCAAAACAAACTTATTTTATTGTATCTCAATCTGCACATTGCAACATACAAACGCATCCTGTTCAGAATACTTTGCCAGATCAAAACGTGTGGCAGATACCGCAGCAGCAATTGGCGGCAAATCAAGGGAATACAAGAATGTCTCCTACAACCAACAGGAAACAGTCATACGTCGTGTGGAGAAATGTAATTAGCAATACTGCAATCGAAAAAAGTCAAAGATACATCTTGCCCAAAGATACATCCACATGTCCAATTGATCTATCGATTAACGATATCCCGCAGAATATGCAACAAAACATGTCGCAACATAAATTGCCAGTAAATCAAGGGAATGCAAACATGCTTCCTACAATCAATACGAAACAATCACACATCACATCAAAAAATCCAATTAACAGTACAACCGTAAAAAGCCAGCGTGTAATATCCGAAGATATATCTATATGTCCAATTAATCTATCGATTAACAATACATTGCAAAATATGCAAGAAAACGTACTGAATAAAGAAGCAGAGATAGCAGAGTCACAAAATACAAATCTCATGCAAAAGAAGTCACAATCTATAAATCTGCAACAAGATGCACATCAAGAAATTCTAAGCGGATGCAATAAACTGCAAAATGTTAGCACTGTTTCGGAAACTTCTACGCAAAGATTGAGTATTTTACAAAGTATGATGTCTACAATATCTCCAAAAAAAAATAATGCAGTGTTATTTTTGTCCGAAATCGAACGAAAAAAGCAAAGAAACAAAGTTACGTTCTCTAATAATCTGGCGATTCTAACGGACATTCAGAAAATTCTATTGCGTGATCAAATAAAATCGTATTTTATCATGTGGGACGAACTGAAAAATTTACTTAGCAAGCAGGAATTCGAACGAGTACATAATGAGAGAATAATATTGTTTTACTCGTACTTAAATTTAGATGATTACATAAAGAGCATGATAAACGAGTCACAGACCGTTAAAAAATCCGTCGAAAAAAGTTCACAAGATAATACGTCACAAAACAAGTCAACATTACAAGCGAATACAATAGAAACATCCGTAGACAAGTTAACGAAGGCTCAACTTAATCAAGACAATGAAAATAGTTTAGAATGTAATAGGATTTTAGAAAAGCAATCAGAACAAAGTATTGATCCGAATATTTCAAAGAGTCCAAAATTTACGGCGGTAAAGAGTAATTTAGAAGCATCAAATGAAAAGTCACCTTATACGTCTGTGATAACTAAGAAATCCCTTCCAAAAAACATAAGATTACAAGAACAAGATAATACACTAAAGAAGCAATCCAAAAAAAGTTCATTGATCGATATGGAAAAAGAATCTCAGAGTACAAAAACATTGTCGCCGGAAAAGAAGTTGATCTCAGAAATGTCTGCCAAGAATTTGAAAACGAAAACGCAAGATAATGCGAAAATTAACGAGTTTCTAAAAGTGACAAGTTTATATGATTCCTCCCTTCTTAAACAAAGTCTACCGAATTTATTACAGGATGTGTCAACTGAGAACACAAAAGATCAATCAGAAATTACAACAAATAATATAAACAAGAGATTTAGTAATGTAGAAATGGAAAACATACGCGAAACTTCTGACATTGTAACATTAAATAGTAGCAAACAAAACGATGCGACATCACAAGCTCAGTATAACACGAAAGATCAAAATGAAAAAGTATATAATACCAATAATGAAATATCCAATAAAAATTTACGAGTTGGAATGCGTGATAACGTCAAAGAGAATATTGGAATATTAAATTCCACAAAGCTACAATCTGATCCATTGAATATATTGCGTATTTCAGAATCGTCCTCATCAAACATCATACAGGAATCGATATCTCCGAGAAAATATCTCGGAAAGAAATGTGAATCTACCGAAATATCGGAGCCACATATCGCAGATGAGGAACACGTCGAAGCAACATCAGAATTTTGCTTAAATATACAGCAACAAGATCCTACGAATGAACGAAGTAATGATTCTACTGAAACATTTGAAAGTTTTGGGAAACTGTATATTGACGAAAGTGCGATGCAAAACCAGTGCGATAAGATATCGTCTTTTGAAGAAGATAACTTAAAATCACAAGATTCAATAGAACTATTTGATACAATAAGCTGCGATTCTGTGAAAGTAACATCATTCTCTCTTCTCAAAAACACTGCTAAGGAAGATTTATCTAATACACATCAAGATTTCAAAACTGAAACACAAGACATTGAGGAATTCAATGAACATGAGGAACTCAATGAACACCAGTCGTTAGAAATAGAAAAGATGCAGCTACAGAATGTATCATTGAAGTTTGAAGATGAATGCAATATGAGAGAAAGTGTGATACAATCGAGCAATACTATAAAGAAACATGAAGATATAATAGAAGAAAATGATGAGCTATTAATAGTAGAGGAGGTCGATTTTCAAGAAATGTCATTAAAACATAAAGTTTCAAAAGACACATTGCATGTCGAAGAGAGCATGATAGAGTCGATCTATTTAAAACATCCTGAAGATATAGAAGAGAAAAAGATAGAAATAAACACTCAAAAGCTTCCTGAAAATATAGAAGAAGAAAAGACGGAAATAGATACTTACAGTATTATTGAAATGGCCAATAAAAATAGTGAGCAATCACTATTAACAATAGAGGAGATCGGATTTCAGAAAATATCAAAATTTAGAGATCCGGAAGATACATCAAGTATCGAAGACAACTCAATAGAGTCAATTTACTTACAACTTCCTGAAGATATAGAAGAGGAAATGATAAATATAGACACTCAAGAACTTCTTGAAGATATAGAAAAGAAAAAGACGAAAATGGATACTCACAGTGGTATTAAAGCAATCAATGAACAGCTCAAACATGTATCCGAACAAAAATATGGAAAATCGCGTACTCGTGCACTTAATTCCTTTCCAAGAGACGATTCTCTCGATGTAAATGAAACAGAAGTTTCCGCCAAAACTGATTTTCTTGACGCCGATGATGTTGAATATCTTTCCCTGAAAAGCGATGACTCCAATAGCATGCCGAGTATCTTGAACATTAGGAGTATATCGCCATCATCATTCGAGAAGATGAAAAATATAAATGCATTTCTTGAAAATAATTCAGAGTCGTTAATTGAAAATGATGAAAATTCATTGGATATAAATGACAATTTAGGAATTTCGGATGAGATAGATGAGAGGCTCTGTTTACGCTGCAAACGCAAAAGTGTGGTATATTGTCAGGCTTGCTTGGAAGCTCATTATTGCTCCAAACGTTGTTCATCTTTACATTGGAACGCGGAACACTACAAGCAATGCAAGGGTCGTAATTCGATTATCTGTATCGATGAGTAGTATAAAACCGTATATTTGTATCTTTAAGTACTCTATACAATAATCTTCTGCTAACATATTGTTAGCATCAAAACATTTCTCAATTAAGCAGTATTCATTGTTACATGTATTTAAAACTATATTGACGTGTTATTTTCGTAACAAAACTTTTCTATTAGTTATAAGATATATATAATAATTCACGCTAATATTTTACGTTTTTTTGTTGATAATAGGAAAAAAATAATAGTGAAAAAGTTGAAGAGTGTAATCATATTTAACTTTTTGAAATGTTACTTTTTTTCACAACTATACCGGTACATTTGTAATTGCAACTGTGCAATCGTGATGTGCAATTGTTCGAGCTTACGTTAATTTAACTGGCGATTATATATAATTATATATAATTCACGCGCGCGCACGCACACACACACGCACACACGCAATAATGAATGTGTGTGTGTGTGTGTGTGTGTGTGTGTGGGGATACGTATATGTATGTCTTCATTATTGCATTTGTGTAAAAAATGACATAGGAAATCAGAAATTTTCAATTTTTTCTCTGATATTTTTTTAATAGTCAACTGTAAAAGACACATTCCTTGTTAAAATATTGTATTATCCAATATAAATATAAGTAACAACAATGTATAGACAACGTAAAGTATTAATTTAGTTACATAATTTGTATGCCTACACTGGTGGAATTTGTCCGAATTCGTCCTAAATGTTTCCGAAAATTGTTGAAATGTACAAATTCGGACAATTAATATGGGAAATACAGATAAAATGGGATACTTTCCATCAAATTTCGGTAATACTGTTTGAATATGTTAGAACTTGCCATTTTTTTATATTTTTCGGACAAATTTTTTCCACCAGGATAAATAGCTTACATCAAGTCAATTACATTTCCTGCTCAGTTTAACTTAATTGATATATTTAAGTTTTTGATATTCTTATACCAGATTTGACAATACTACTACAATTTAAAAAACACTCGTCAATTAATTAAATATTGCGATGTGATAATATATTTGTCGTAACTACATTCGTTATATGTGAAATATATCAAAATGTGAAAGAAATATATCACGAAAGAATTGTATTTTAATAAAGATAAACAAAGTCATATTAATTGATGCTATTTTTAAATCATATTTGAGAACTCTAAATTTTTTAATTCTATGTGATATAAATACTTAAACATAAAATTAATAAAAGGTAGAATTATTTTCCCTTCATTGCAGATCTTTGATTAATTTAATGTAGTTCATAATATTAAATATTTCGGTAAAAAAAAACGTCATCTAGACTTATAAATTCAATATAGGGTAGGGGGGAGGTGAGCTATTCCGTCAGTTTCAACTTCAAAGTAATAAAAAAATTCACGATAGCAAACAAATCTCTTTGCAGTGACGTGCTTATAATTACATTATACAATCATGATTGCTTCTTGAGAGCACAATTACAATTTTTAAATCAGTGCTGGAATTTACTTGCAACTTTCAACCGATTTTCAGCTTGGTTCTTGTCCCTTACCTCACCAACCCACGTACAATCTAAATTCCGATCGGCTGAAAGTTATAAATAAATTTCAGCACTGCTTCAAATTATCAACATGACATGTGCTGTTCAGAAACAAACATTTTCGCAAGTGGACGAAAAAGCCCTGCTTTACCCTATATCCAATATTAAGTGAGTTTATAATTATGTCAAATCATAATCTGACAAGAAAATATAAGTATGGAAAAAATATAAATGTCATATCTATCATTTATTGACTCAATTGTTCATAAGCCAATATAATGCATACATGTTATAATATATGTTATAAAGAATGCTAATGTGAAGCATAATTATTACCATCTAAAAGAACCACTTTTTATTCTTCTTCGTAACCATCGGGTAGAGGATTCAGTTTAGAATTATGAAAAAGGCTGTGATTACCATCTCCCCATGGGAATTTCTAAAAATAATATTAATTATAAAGGAAGTATTATAAAAAAAAGGCTGTATTTTAGAAGTTCGTATCAATTTCTTGCATTTTGACACTATATATATATATATTCATATTTTGATACCTTGGTTCTTATCCTCATGTGGTCGTATGCGATAAATTCTGGATGTTCATCATGATGATGTGCTTGATGATTCAAATAGCAATTAACCATAGCCAAACCTATCGCTGGTAAGCCTACGAAAAACGAGATCCTCTTCCACATCAATTGCATTTGCTCTGTAAAGTACACAGCGTTATTGTTATGTAATGTTCATTGATAATTTATTTAACATTCTTCATACGTTTTCTTTTCATCTATAAAACATTGTACGCCAACATAACATTATTTAAATATAAAGACACTCCGCACTCAAGTCTTAATAACATTTGACAAAAACGGCACTTTATTGTAAAAAATATTCGCCAGTGTGCGACATTGTGCATACAAATACCGTTGTATTCAAATATGTAAATAATATATTAAAATTATCAGAATTTCTCATTTATATTCACCTGTAGCGCCATGAGTACCACTAAATTTAGGAGCATCCGTCGAATATTTTCTGGAAAAGGAGCGCATAAACTTCGTCCAAGAAGCCATTTTTATTCTTTTGCTCAGCTGTGCTCCACTATGCTCAGCTGCTCTTACTTTGACCAGAGGGATACCTGAGACTTGAGAGAGGCCATGTCGGAGAGAGGCCTTTTTTCTGTTACCGTCGAAACGCCCGTACACTACCGCCAGTATGTACATCCATTTTTGGTTTGGAAACTACGTGACTACATCCATTTTCTGACACTGTCGATAAAATCGTATCGCAGTGTTGCCACATGGTTCGCGTGAATATTCCCTAAATTAATTCTGTTTCCCCCTAAAAATTCCCTAAAAACTGTACACAAAATCCCCCAAAATCCCCTAAATGTCCAAAATAGCTCTTGATCATAGTAAGAAATTCTATTTTGGAACGATAAAGCAGTGCTGTCAGTACTGCCAGTTAATTTCGGAACATACCCTATGGCTGCGTTCAGCAGACTCAACAG